ATTTTTACTTATGGAATATTAGAATATGAATTTAATTCTATTTAATATTTTTATTTTTACATTTCAATTTATATTGTTATTTATACATTTTTTTGGGCAACGTACTATTTTTGTGTTATAACATCCTTGTAYACTTAAAAAGATTCAATTACCCATGGGCTACGAATAATTATTTTAAAATACAATAAAATAACTAATTAGATATTTTATAAATTAATTGAATTTAAAAAATGTGAACAAGTATTTTGTTGTACAATAGTAGTTGGGTATGATGTCATTGTAGCGGATGTGTTAAATTTTAATTTGATGATGAAAAATGATTGTAAGCTGAGACTGTAAGTTAGCTTAGCATATACACGAATAAATAATAAAATTTAGTTAAAATTTGTAAATATCAAAATGTGAATGAAAAAAACGTTTTTAATATTATACATATACATTGAATAATCTAGATTTACACCGGGAAGTTTTATTTTAAAATCCAACCATGAAATATTGTTTTCCATTTTTACAATTTTGGAATATCTGTCCTCTTAGTATTTTTGTTTCATAATGTAGAGACCCACCAACATGAAAAAAAACTACTGAGCTTAAACTTCTAACTTCTGCGGTTCCWGCTTGATGATGATGAATCAGTCAGTGAATCAGGAGAAGTTCAATTGTATRTATATAAATATATAGAATAATGAAAATAGTCATATCCAGATATGTKTTGTGAAGTTTTAAAGTATCTACAGTTATAAAAACACTTATCATTATTCATTATAGAATCAATATATTTATCGTTTTTCTCAGAATCGGAAACTCGAAGTAAAAAGTGTTTTTAAAATTTATTTTATTTTTAGTAGTTTAGCTCCTATATACATAAAAAAAACATTTTAACCATGAAATAATATCTACTCGAAATTTAGTATCTCTGGTTTTAGTTGAATACAGATGMTTGATAATACGATCTTAATAGCTAATAAATTATAAAATATTTAGTCATGAGCTGTATTCGACAAMAAGTTTACTTAATATAAGATAAATGGTTCTTGTAGTATCTGTTGTTTAATAATTCTGTTGACGCTAAAAAAGATCAATGAAAATGAGTACCTCCGTATTTTTGTTCAATAAAAATTAAAAAATGTGTGTGTCTACATGACGAACAAGATGTAAAAAAAAAWTTTTTTTTTGCATAACCTTATAAGGGTTATAACACACAATGGTTAACACATTAATGATAGTAATAATAATATTTAATAATAACTAATAAGTGATAACGACATGTTACTTATCACCACCCTCCTTGAGCGACAATCTCAAACAAATAAAATATAAAGTACATGATAATACTTATGTATATTATGAGTACCAAATACAAATAGTGGAAAATTCTTATTTACAAATAAAATGATTATTTTAATATGCTCAGTAACTTGTGATAGTAACAYCAAGTTGCTCAGTCTCAGAAGACAGTGGAAGTCGGATAAGTTTGGTAATGGGTCTTATTATGAAGAGTTTTGGGTCTTGACCGTCACGACACGTACAAAGTGATCATGTGCACTTGGGTGTACGGTAGTGACTCGTGCTAAGGGCCAGTTGGTTGGTGGTGTATTTTCATTTTTTTATTAGAATAAGATCCTCAACTTAATACCTCTTTAAAAAGAGGCTTTTTCCATTTCTGACGGTGTTGCAACGTTAGAAAGTWATCTGAAAACCACAACTTCCAGAAACGCTATTGTTGTTGTTGTAAAATATTCTATCTAGTCAGCCTATTCGGATGAGTGGTGAAGTAGTCTTTAGTTGTAGTGTAATTAGTTTCATTTTTTTTAAATTCAATTTTGATCAACTTAAAATTATGAAAAAAAAAAAGTTACAGTGTTCATCACCATTAAATTCATCACTTAAATACTAATGTCTTCAAAAAGGTCTAAGCTCAATAATGCGCATAGCAATGAGGCACGACGCAAACGTGTTATAAGACATAAAGAATAATTGAAGTAATTGTTGCAAGAAACGCAGATCAAAGAATCAGGGAAGCACAGAGTCGTGCAACAAGAATCAATTCTCAAGAATGTTCTATTCTTAATCCCGCGTTTTATTTGATCTGTCAAAAAGATTTTATCTTTATTATTGACATTATATGAATAATTATTACATATAAGTATATAACCTAATCTAGCTCAATAGTTTACTATACACTATGATCTCTAAAAAAAAAATTATAAACTAAAAATAAAAAAAATAAAAATATTTTCTCACACATCATAACATTAATACACGGTTTACAAAAATGACAAAAAATAAACTAATACGCGGGAATCGCCGTGTCGGCACAGCTAGTAATAATATTTTCTTTTAAATAGTATCTATTCTTAACTATGATTTGAGAAGTTATCGCTTTTTCTTATTTTCTTTTCTCTTTATCTAATACTTTTAATTTGCATTTGACATAAATAGAATTAATTTTTTACTAATTTTAGTATTATTTTAAATGTCTTATTTTGAGATGTCTTGTTGTAGTTTTCAGGTATTTAATTTTAATACTATATATATCATTTAAATACTCGTATTTTATTCATGACATCATATTTGAAATAAAGTTTTTAATGTTTTAAAGAGTTGAGCTTGGATAAAAAATTGTGCATCACGGTCACTACTCATATTTGTGCATTAAGTACTATTCAATGTGTATACTTCTAACCAAGTACACGCATCATACGTATTATACACTCATATGMATTTGTCATTTTGTCAWCTGATCAAATTATTCAAAAATAATTTTTAAACGTTAAATAGGTATAATACGCCTGATCAGGCTTGGCGTGTTGGTTTAGCTGTATTCTCTTGTATTCGGATTTGGTGACTTGGCGGTTGGGCATTTTGTGGCTGTTTTCATTGTTTCCAATGAGAACTGATACCATTTTCTGTTGGTTGAAGATTTAGGCACYATCTCAAAATATTGTCGATTTTCGTGGTTACTTATTTTTGAAGACCTTATTCGTTGCTAATATCTCCTTAAATTCTGGTTGGTGGTCTCGTAGGATCTCAGGGAAAAGGGGACTGGTGACTTTAGGTTGATTAGCGGAATAGGAGCATTTTTCGGTCGCTAATTGGATGGCAGAGGTAATTGATTAGATGTTCTTATT